AACATTTTATATTTTAATATCTTATATTTTATATTTTATATACATCTTTTATAAATCTTTAAAATTGCAATATTTATTATCATTCTTAAAAATTATTAAAATTAAATTCGTTATATTTTGTAGTATTAGATAAATTGTAAAAATATGTGTTATAATTAATTTAATATACATTTAATAAGATAAAATATTAATTAAATTAAATTGTTATTTGTAAAGGAAGTTTAAACTTCTTTTTGATAGTTAATTGAAAATGACAGATCATGTTATTTTCACTAACGACAGATTTCTGAGACCATTTCGAGTTAAAAATCTTAATATCTATGAAATATGAAAATCCTAAAAATATCAGAGTTCCAACAATAGTTTTCAAATAAGAAAGGTTTAATTAAACTATATGAAATGTGTATATCTAATGCGAATGACATATTGCACAATAATAAATATTTTTAAACATCTGTTATTCTCTAAACTGAATAATTCTACATATATTATTGATGGAATCGCTTCTTAGTTTTATTTTCTTATGCATGAGCTATTAATTAAGTATGAAAATAATAACAATAAAATAAAAAATGTATTGAAATGCGATATGCATCGAACTATCATAGTTGTCACGTGTAAATATCATAAATAAATGAAATTAATTTCGAGAATAGAATAGATGTTTAGAATCTTTATTATTGTGTAATATGTTCTAATATTGTGTAATAAGCCTGATAAATTTCAGAGCGTTCGATTGGTCAACTTTAAAAATTTTTTATTTTAAAACTACTGTAGTCTGAACATTTTAAGATTTTTGTTTTGATCTCAGAAATTTCAGGATTTAACTTATTACGATAAATTTAGGACATTCTGTACATATTATTTAATAAAAAATACACACACACACACACACATACCATTATCATCACTGCTTTCATCCTCATTATTATTTTCTTCTTCACCTTGGGCATATTCTAATAGTTTTGATACTTGTAAAATATCTCGACTAGCAACAGGTAATCTATAATATTCCTTATGAATTTTATCTGTATGTCCTAAATGATTTGATAAGTCATCTACTTGATGCTCTAATAAATTCAGAGAAATACATTTAGTGGCAATGTGCTTTCTTAATTGTGTTCCACGTAATGTGTGTGGCATACTTGCTCCGCAAGCTTCTGAAAATGTTCGCATTAAATTGCAAGCCCTTAAATATTTATATCTCTTCTTATCACAACCTCGTATTCCAAAAAGATAAGGATTTTCATGATGCACTTTAGCATCTGAACGGAAATTTAATATAACATTGATACATTTCAATAAATCAGAATGAAGTAAGACAGGAACGGTACGGCCAAGTTTACCACGTATCTCAAAA